TACGTATCACCATGTCAGTCGAAGTAGAACAGTACTAACACTTGAACATAAAAGCAGTAGGGATATAGCAATTAAAGAAGAGTTCTCTGTTTTTCTCAGCTTTATTGTTGGCATTTCAAAGGAAGTTAACAGACTTCTGCAGGAATGCTTTATTACTACTTTTACTTTGGATTAACTATGAAATCAATTAATCCAGTGTTAACCAAAATGCCTTAACTAAATTAACAGAACACTTATTTCCCCACCTCTGCTGGCTGAGAGGTGGATACAAAGACCAGAACCAAGGAAAGGGCAGAGGACCCATCAGCAGACAGGATTTGGAATGGCTTGTGAGAAGCCGTCAGAGCAGCCCGTGCCATCTCAACTACCTAAATGTTAACCAGGGATTTCCAGGCACTTGCAGACTACCCCTCATATCACACAGAACATAAAGGCTGTCAAAATACATGGGGTTTCTTCAAATTTACATTATTGCAGGTGTCTTTATATTTCTCTGGTCTTGCTGCTTGTGGGTATGAACATACAAGACTGCTCCAGCTGGTTCATGTAATTGAAGACATCATTTTATTTACTAGTGCAGACCAACAGGAATCATCCTAAGTTTTTGGGTTTTTCCTACAAAGGTATTCTGAACATCCAGAATCTATTGAAGAAGGATGGCAAGTGAGAGCTACCGAACAGCTCTGCAGTTCTTATTTTTTATGCAATCCAGGGCCCTCTATGTCAAAGGAGCAAACTGAGAAATATTTCTCACAGGTAGAGACAGATCAAAGCACTTTAACTTTTTACAGCAGAAATATTACTTCCGGGTCTCTCAGTCTGGAATATTCAGTCAATTATCTTCACTGAAGAGAGAAAATGTCATGTTTTGCAACGTAAAAATTGGTGTTGATAAAAACTGTCATATTTGCAAGGAAAAAATGAACACCACTAACTTCATAAACCCACCTGGAACAATACTTGAAAAATAAAAAATTCCACCTGAAGACCAAAATGACATATAAAGACACACACACGTGTGTAGACAAACACACACACACATACTCACAGACCTGCAGAGCTAGGAAATGTGTTTATGCTGGGTAACTAGCAAGAAAGTTTGCAATTCAACATCGATGAATATTACATGCTGTGCTGGTTTTGGCTGGGGTAGACACTCGCACATGGAGATAGTGAGGGGAGAAATTTACCCCTGAAACCATCTTCCCAGAAGCCTCTCATCTCTGACTTCCCATAACCTTCATCCTCTTCTGTGGTAGCCCCCTTGTCTGATCCTTTGAATCTGTGTGAGTCAAGGATTCATTTTTAAGTACAGGTTCTCTTAACAAAGGTGTATTACTTTAAATTGAGGCCTACACATGCAATAGGGTATGTACCTATATACATACACATAATACATGCACATACTAAAAATACAAGACACTTGTGCAATACTTTACCACAACGAATAAATATGTATCATCATCCTGTGGATATTTTCTGCCAAGAACTATTCTGTTCCTAGGTGAATGCTAGGGAACATGCCTGTGCAGGTTATTGTTCAGAAAAGTAGCCATGGAAAAGCGCTAAGAAAATATACGAGGAATGCCAACTTGAAACCTCAATTCCGTTCTGATGAAATACTGTATTTTTGTGTTACCCCCCAAAAACTGCTTAATAAGGCATTTTAATGAAGTTTTTTCATAGCTGCAAACAATACATATGGCAAATACACTGATCCTTCTACTGAGAAACAACAAATTTTTCAGCTGCTTTTCCTTATAGGAAAGTGTGGAAATTTCACGAAGGCAGAGGAACAGTAAGTCAGTCATGTTACTTCATTTGTACTCCTCTAAATCCTTTAGCAGAATTACCGCTTGAGTACTAACATTTGTTTCTGAAAGTATTACAAATAAATAACTTTACAGAATATTGATTATTTTGAAGATTAGATTAATAACCAGTTATTTAAATCTTTACTGATAAGAAATTTGATTTTTCCAACAAAACTGCCCACATTACTGGGAACTGCATTACTTTTCTCACAGTAGAGAGGTATCAGTACTTGACTGATGCATAGCAGCAGCGTGAAGGAAACCTAATGTGAGTATATAAACCTAATATACAGTCTAACACCTCTTTACCAACACAACACGAAGTATTTATAGTACTAAGAAAGATTGGCTTGTGCACCTCAGGCTTGAAATAGTGGTATGAGGATGAAAAATTTAGCCCATGGTCTTTATATGACTTAGAGAGCCAGGCTGGACAACAGAGTAAGCTGAGACATTGTTTCACCATGAGTAAACCAGTCTCCTGCAGGAAGACTGCTCAACTGAACAAAAAGTGAATCTGCTTTTGAGGTGCCAGGTTTACAACTCAAGTTTTATCAATGTAAAAGGAAACTTCTTGATGAAGTTGCTTATGTGAAGATGTTAATCTAAAATTTCAGATAGCTTAGTGTCAAACACACCTCCAGAGCTCTGCTACCTGGAGGCAGCAGAAAGGTGGAGGTGATAAACACTTCAGCTACCCCAGGTAACCGCTTCAAAGCAAATGCAAGGTGACACCTAAATGTACTTACCCCTGCCAAAAAGAATTACCCTGTTTTTAAATTCTTATTTAATAACTACTGTTAGAGCACAAAGAGGACACAGAAATACTCATCTGTAAAAGCTCTCTTCAATACAAGTGCTGAATTCTAATAATATTCTAAATCCACCTGGTATCCAAAAGTTTCTTATGGTTAAATTAAATCAAACCAAAAAAAGCTTCATCCTGAAGACAACAAATTCCATAAACTCCTCAAGTGCTAACTTCACAAGCAACCTGTTCTACAATCTCCCAATTCATTTGTACTGTCTGCATAGCAAGTATTAATGGTGGATTGTTTGTTGTATTTACAGCAAGTTTATTGGGGAGAGGAAAAGTATTCTTTTACAAATGAGCCATGTTCACTACTGAGATTATTTCCAAAGACAGCATTCAGAAAGCAAATCTGAATATATTACATTGACAATTATTTTTCAATATTTTAACATCAGCCACTTAAAACTGGTTGGGTTATTAGCACATATACTGATCTTTAAATATACTACTTCTACATAAACAGTGCAAATCTCAATATTCACATCAACCTGAAATTAATGCTGCAATTACTGTTGACATTCACATCAAGAAAGTAGTAAACTATTTCACATGAGCAATTCCAAAACCTTAGAATGCCATTATTAATAATAAAGAAACACAGAACAAACACGTTGGGCTTCAAAGCCTTGTTTTGATACACACAATCCCTGTAAACATGGATGTATTGTACTTGTCAATACTGATATCTGATATAATTTTATAAATAAAACCATTGATATAAACAATTTCTATAACCATTTTTTTGCATAGGGTTTGGATTAGGTTTACTTTAAGACGGAGCAAGCTGTTGACAAAATCCTCTAGTCAATTAGTCTTCCATCACACAAATTTAGGCGTATGATTAAACTTTACTCAAGGAGTCTCTCTGACTTCAGTGAAAACTTACACATGTAAGCATATGCAAAACTGGAGTCAACATTAACACTTAAGTTACCCCTAATCATTGAGAATACAAGCAATAAAAGAGCTCTCCATAAATGTATAAAATATACCAATTTAAAAGTTTATGCTGATGTTTCTGTAAGTCACATTTATGATTCCAAACAGTTATGTACATACTATACTATCACAGTAGGAAATATTTCACTGTAGAACGCCACAGTGAACAAGTTGTGAAGCACAGTGTTCAATATAATTTCCCTTTAGTATTCCCAGTGCATAAGTTGTTAACATCTACACTACACAAGGTGCCCAGGTCTAGTATTTGTTATGTACAATGTAAAAGCAAGATAGAAAGAGCTTTGCATTTTAAAGTAAGGAATGAAAACAGTAGGTAATATACAGGGATTCACTCCTGCAAAATACAGAATTCTCCTTCACAATGACCACAACCACTGAATATGGTGGATTTCAGGTCATTCAACCCAGTAAAACAGTGCTCAGCACCTTGTAGGAAGAGAGATCTGAGTGCACTTTATTATAAAACATCTCATTTCGATGTCATAAAGTGCAAAAAACATATATTCTAATATTTTACAGTCACTATTAAACTGCCATATTTGCACAATGCAAAATTCAGTAACTTGTTATACATTTTGTATGGACCCTATAATAACAAATGTTGAGACTGGAGTTTTGCATCTTTAAAAAAATTCTTATTATTTTAAAGATATTGTGTAAATATAAAAAGAAAATATAAATTATAATTAATTCTTGAAATAGATATTTTAACGTGACCATTTTCCAAAGCATTCAGTATGAAATTTCACTTTCTCTTACAGCATTACATTTTAGAATCTGTAAAACATTTTAAAAGCTAATACCTTGAAAAAGTAGAAATAAAAATTGTTGTATCACAGTACCAGACACCTCACCTCATCAGATATCTTTTACCCTAGATGTTTCTAAAAAAATTAAAATAAAAAAAACCCCAAACAACTCAAGATTTATATTCCCAGTTGTTCAGAACAAGATATATAGAGTTACTTCTTAAAAGAACGTAAGAGTTGCATAAATTCATTTTGCTCTTAAAACTCAAATAAATGGGGTAAATTGTTACCACAAATTTAAAAGGCCTTAAAATACTATACTGCTTTGGTGCATTGTACCAATGACTCTTTACACGTGTGAAGAATCAAACTCTACGACATTCTTCACAAAGCTGGGTAAAAGAAGTAGTTTCAAGAGTTTTATACATGTTACAGAGCTTTCCTTTATTTTGAACACTGGGGAAGAAACTAGGAGGAAGACTGACACTGAGAGACTGTCTTCCTCCAAGCTGCACCATAAGCAGCATAGCTCCTGACCTTGGGCTTCACTTCACAATAGTAATTTAGCCCTAAGAGAATACAGTGTTGGTTGTATAATAGTTTTATACCATATCCAGTGATACCAAACTTAATGCTAACAAGAAATGTATTGAAATACAAAGGTAAAAAATGACTGAAATATATTTTTAAAGCAACAGACATTAATGTAGCCTGCAAACCACAGGGAGGTTGGGTGGGAGAAGACAATATAGGTTTATAATAAACTACCAAGTTTATGACCACTTAAATCTTCAAGACAGGGTGTTCTCTGCTTTTCAGTCAGAGAACTGGAAGATGGTTTCTGGGTTATTGCTGTCTGTGGGGTTTGCTGGCTGCAGTGTCTTTGTAGGTGTAGTTTTACCATGAGAATGAGAGGAAGAAGAATGTGAACTTTCACTGGAGCTGCTACGTGTCTCTGTGCTTGTACTTGTTTTTTTCATTTTCCTTCTCTTTGCAAGAGGTGCCTTGTCAACATTCTGAAGACAAAATCCTTCCCTTTTGTACTTGTTAAAGGCCTGTTTAAAAATAAAAGGTAATTCTAAGCTTTCCAAAAGGTGTAAGACATTTTATGGCTTGTAGTTTATTATGAATGTTCTATGGTAAGTCATAAGATAAACTGTAATCTCTTGAAGGATCTCTATGAATAACTTTTAACAATAACTTTGCTAGCCTTTAGAAGTATTCAAGTGCCAATACATTATTAATTGACATTATCATCTTGTTGTTTTTAATTGTTGTTTTCTTATTCTTTTTAATTTAGAAGTATTTTTTATTAAGCCTTAAATCTATTTAGAAATACATTTTCAGGAACTATACTTTGTTAAACTTCACTGGTTTTCCTTCATCCCAAATTATGGTGCATTACCAGGACCTCTCCAAGTAACAATTATTTTCTTTTTCTCTTCTTGGTAATAAACATCTGCAAGTATTTCAGCATGAATTTGCTCAATTACTGTTTACTCTCTGCAGAAGGGAACTTGAGAATCAACATTATGTTTGTATAACACAATTTCAGTTCAAACACTTTTAATAAATATACAATGGTAGACTAGCAATTCCATTAAAAAAAAAGTATCCATGATTTTAAAAACATGAACTAGGTATGTTCCAGAAATTTTACCTCAATTTTGTAAGCATAAGGACAAAAAGTCAAATAATCAAGTTAAACAGGAAGACTCTATTTTTTTCCCTAAGTTTGAAGACCTTTTAAAATATTTCTCTAAGAAACAGAATATTTACAATACCTACTTCATGAACAGCCATGTCTCTATCCCTAAACCCCCAGTAATATAAACCTCTTCAAGAAATATATTCTTGCCTCATCATTCATGTTTTCACTCTACTTAATCATAGATGTTAGATATTGCAGAAAAAATTGCAGCTGTAAGCAACCACTGAATTATAAGCACAAATATATATTTTTAATTAGGAGAAAACGTACGAAAAAAATCTACATTAACACATTACAAAACTTAGCACGTGACAAAAAGATTTCTCAGAACTTACATGAAAAGTGGCTTTGACATAAGTGTGCACTGCAGCTCCTGAGGAGCCTAAGTTATCAGGAGTCATCAGAGGGTTGGACGACAGCTGGCTGCCATCCTGAAGCCATTCGTTATATCTCAGGCTGGACATTTTTATTCTTTTGTTTGGATCCACTGTTAGAAGTCCTAATAGAAATATATTACATTCTCTTAAACTGTGAGCTATTTATTTTCTCTTAATAGAAAGTTAGATTATTTTTTAAGAAAATCTCATGTATTGTTTTGGTAAGTAAATAATGACATTATTTATCTTAGGTATGCTAACATATATCCTAGGTAAGGCTCGCACCATGTTATACTGTCATTCTCTCCAGAAGAATCATTAAATACAAGAAACTGCTATTTAATTGTTTGATAATTCGCATATCTTCACATTAACTCAGAACTACCAATAATTTCTTCTCTTAAAACCTCCCTAGGATTTAGTTCAAGAGGGTAGACTCAATGTTGAAATGCCTACCTTTTTGCCAGAAAAATTACTTACAAGCCTGCTTCTAAAGAAATTCAGAACTCAACCTTAGTTAAATAAGGACTGGTGCCTATCTCATGCTGAAAATATAATTAGATGCTCAAAAGCTATGGGGAAATCAAAGCACAGCAAATGTGAATGAAGCAGCTCAGAAATACAGCAGTTGTGGTACATGCATTCAAAACCAGCCAGAGTAAAAGTGATAGTAATACATTCATTTTCTGCAAAAGCTCAGCTTTTAAAACATCTCAGAACTTGGTGTTTTTACAAAGCAACTGTAACATAAAAGAAGAAATCTGCTTTTAAATACATTTTAAAAGAGTGACTTCACTTTTTCTGAAACTCTTTGGCTACTTTTAACCCCACACACCTTCCTTCAGCATCTCACTACCTTAAAAAGCTCTCTGCTATGTGTACAAGCAAGTTGTAGTGCCATTCTGATGTGTCCACCTTTATTCATAACTTGAATTAGGGCTCAGTACATAGCTTAAGCTACGGATACTATTCTGTCAGGTTAGACACTGACAGATATGTATGATTCTCTAAATTTTATCTTTTGAGATAAGAACATAAGGTACATTAAATATTTGTGAATACGTACCTTGGATTAACTCTTTAGCCTCTTCAGAAACATTTTTCCAAGCTTCTCCTTCAAAGGAAAATTCTCCCTTTTTAATTTTCTTCATAATTTCCAATGCACTGGTACATGTTAAACTTTTGTCTTGAGACTGAAATGGTACCTGTCCTGATAGCATTGTATACTGTCATAAGAACAAAAGTAGTATTAACAAACACAGTATATTTGTTGACAGTCTTATTACTAAATATGGAAAACTTCTGTATGCATCACCACTGCTACACAATAAAACTTCCACTAGTGTATCTTTGAAGGCTATGGAAAACTTAAAGTATGCAAGACTTTCTCTGGAGTCCTTGTTAGAACAAAGAAAAACCAAACAAAAATTCATGTTTCATGAAAATATCTACAAAACACGATGGTATTTCTATCCAGTTTATACCTACTGAAATTAGTTTTCTGTAAATCAGAGCACAGGTTGATTCCTTCTCTGAAATGAATCTGTATGAAGATGGATGCCTGCAAGATCTTCTAACAAGATCATCTCTTTTTAAGAACCAGATTGTATCAAGTACTTTTTCCATTCCCAGAAATGCTGAATTTAACTTACTGCTTAGGAAAAAACATCTCCATTCCTAGAAAACATCAGTCTCTGGAATGTTTTATTTGTGCAGCAGTATTTTCACCTGACTTGAAATATCATCTATACAATTCAACGCTGAAATTATGTCAAGTCCTTTGCATTTTAACAAAAACTAAATACATAAAATGAAGTTACAACTGAAAACCTCAATCACTCACCAAAATGACCCCCAAACTCCACAGATCACAGGACTCGTCATAACCATTGTGATTCAAGAGCTCTGGGGCAGCATAATGAAGAGTAAAACAAGGAGTCTTAAGAGGCTGATTATCAGGTGGTTTTAAACGAGCAAAGCCAAAGTCAATTATTTTTATCTCTGAATTATCAGTTTCATCCGTAAATAACAAATTCTGTAAAGCAAAGACAAAGTAAATACCAGCATCAGGTAGAAAATTGGTTAGAATACTTAAATAGTTATTTTTTCCTCCACATTTAATGCTGCAGAAATCTATCTAGGGAAAAGGGGAACTGAGAGACACTGGGGGGAAATAATGGAGAAGTACGAATAACGGTACTCTGGCATGTAAGAAAATGTGATGTGTTTATCTGCCTCCTGAAAATCTGCAAGTCGGGTTAGTTCTGTCTGAGATTATTAATGAAAATGGGTATTCCGCAAAGAACAATAAGGAAATCATCTGGGGAACACTGACAAGGAAAAAGCAAAAGACATCAACATAAGTGGAGAATCGCCTTCTTCCTCAAAGTATATTTTCTTAAACTTCTGCTTCCTTCTGGCATGTTCCAAACGACAGCTTCCTTGCATGTGAAACTCTTGTTACATGTCTTGTCTTGCAACCAAATAGTCTTTGGTCCTCAAGTAGTAACACATTGTAGCCATATTGCTATGGGCACAGTAACACAAGAGAAAAATTTGAAAGTGAAAGATGGCAGACTGGAAAGTTCAAGCACTGAAGGTCACATAGCAGTCCAACCTCTAACCAGTGGCCTACTCTTTACACCAAGGTAAAGAAACTTAGATACAGTAGTCCCCGAGAATTCCAACTTCACAGACTGGAATGTGGCATCTCGGGCTTGAAGAGAGACAAGTTGTTGTCAGTTTGGAAGAAGATTTGAGGCAATCTGTTTGTCTTTTCCCCTGCGTATTTATTTTTGTCATGATAAAAAGACAATGATAAAAAGACAATGATAAAAGAGCAAAGCGAAGTTTTAAGAGAACTTGCTGAGGTCAAGATGAATTATAAAATATTTCTACTCCCCCCTTGAACTTCTGAGAGAAAGAGAGCAAATTATTTTTTGTTGCCTTTGCTGTTTAACCTATGTAACGCCAGAAAAAGTCACTATATTAGAAATCCTATAGCCTATGTAATTTTGTAATACAAAAAATGAATTACTAATTTCAAATTCATTAAGAAGGGGGAAAGAAAAATGATTGCTAGACTGCAAGCAGATCAGTAAGGACAACCTGAGAGCATTTATTATGGATAAAACAGAATAGCTACAAAATCTTGCATTCTGTACTGCTCTTATACATTAATGCACTATTAGAAAAGTCAGTTTTCTGTATTAGAATGTTGTGCAAAATGGATCTGAAGGAAGCCAGATTTCAGTAGAAATATTAATACAGTGAGGACAGCCAATTAATACAATTGTTGGGGGGTTTTTTTGGTTATAAAGCCAACAAGTAAATAACCGCAGTGACATTCAAAGGACCTTTCTTAAGACATGATTCTTTCTTAAGACAAAAACGAAACTGCTTATGTACAGAAAGAAAGGTACAGTCCAAATGTTCTAAGCCATCTTCAGAATACTTCATTTATCAGGTAAACACACAGTGTTATACAAAAACCACACTAAATTATCTATTTTCTATCCAGTACTTTTTCCTCTGTTTTGCAGAGCAAATACGTGATCTAATGACTATTGCTTAGATCACAAAAGCCTTCCATTCAGTTCATGCAATTAAAAAAGCACCTCATCCTTAGCTACATCTGACCAGCTATATTTTTTAAAACAGACTTACCAGTATCACATTAGATGTCAAAGCTGAACATCAAACAAATCTGACTGAAATTGCTAGAAAAGAAACAATTTCCTAGTATTTTTTTTTTCTTTTACAGAAAGGTGCACTAACCACATCTATATTGGGAAGCCTGCATATCCCATACCAAGTTCATGTGCAAACCTAAAATAGCAACTTTCAAAACAACAGGCAGGAAGGAGAAAAGCTGTTTAAGTCCAACTTTGTGAAGGCAATGTATTCTGCAAGCTGTTTGCTAACCCTTCATTACTTGGACTTCCCAGACTTCTGTTCTTGAACATGATGTAGAATTGAAGACTGCCTAATTTGCCATGCATCCAAAGCTCTGCTTTACAGAATCTGGCCTTTACATTCAAGATGGTAATAAGGCTAGAATGATGAGAATAGAAGAGAGAAAGGATTTCTGGGTTTTGTCCTTTAAATAATCAGTTTCAAAAGCTGTTTTCTTTCCTTGATGCTGTCAGCAGAAAAACGTTTTCCAAGAATCACATTTTTAATTAGCACATTAGAATTTGACAATAGCCCCTCTTCATTTAATTGTTTATTTAGTGCAGAGACTCCACTACAGATTTGTTTTCAAACACGTATTTTGGACTAATTCTGGAAAAGAGTTATATATACAACAGTTATAATACCAATACCTAGCAGACTTCTTCATCTGTTGAGCTGGGATTATGATAAAGGAAATAAGTTTGTAATATACCAGAAGGTATGGTACAAAAGCATAAAACATTGGTAAGAATGGTGGATCATTTTAAACTCCAAATACAAAAGCAGCAGCTATTTCCTGAGGTATGTAATCACCAGTACAACATCCTTATTGGATGAACTAACATCAAACTATACTATTTGTGGGCTAAAGATAATTAACACATATCGAGGCCCATTATTGTCATAGGAAAAGCAAATATGGGCTGCAGGAAGAAGAACGAAGCCAATGGTCAGCCTTAATATAGGAAAATGAATTGCCTGGAAGGCAAGCTGTTGCTGCACAAGAAAAATACCAGAACAAGAAACTACTGAAAATTACGTATTAAATGATTGTATCTTTTGGGAAACCACTAAACTCACTAAATTCAAATCCTACTTTTCGATTAGTTGGCTGTGTTAATTTGTGGTTCATTTTGCATTTGTCTGAGACAGAAGACAGTACAAGGGTGTTGCAGCTACCTCCAAAAGAAGCTCTACTGAGGGAATCAAGATCAAAGAAAAGGGGGAAATGTACAGGCGAAGTACCCAAGCAACATAACTCTGCTTGTGAGCCATTTCGTATAATAAATACATATTTACCACTATTAAAAACTGTCCCCAAATAGGCAAAGAATGTCTCTGAAAAAGTTACGGTGTAAACTGCTTAAAGTGAAAAATTAACTCCTAACAGCTGCTTTTACCTGTTAACAGCAAATTCTGTAGACATTTTTCTAAATAAAAGCGATTAACGTTTTATTAAAAATACAGAAGTAGAAAAAACTAATTACAACTGCAGGAAAAAAAATAACATCACATTCCAGATATTTAATAACGTAATGTCTGAATATATACATGTATATATGCAAGTCACTATACCTCGGGTTTCAGATCTCTATGGACTACTCCTACATCATGCATATGGCTCACTGCTGAAACAAGTCTGCGCATAATATGACTCGCTTCAGTCTCACTGAAATGTTTCTTTTTCTGAATACGCTCAAGCAGTTCTCCTCCCTTCAGCAATTCCATTACTAGAAATGTGTGAAGCTGAAACAATGAAGAAAAAAAAAGGTGTATTAGAAATTTAACATTACAAACCAACATTCATTCAGGAGCTAAATGCTATTCTGATAGGTTCTTAAAGTTTGAAGATATAAAACTGCTGCTCATAGTAATTCATAAGGCCAGTAAGCGGCACCAAATTGAATCTCAGATGACATTTTCCCCATCAGTCTCACTGAGACTGAATAATGTTGATGTCTTTCCCATGTCCACCCATACTTATTTACAAAAATGCAATGCCACCATGTAAAAGCATAAGTTTGGATAAGGGAGACAAAATGCCTTCCTTTTGGACAACAAAGCTAGAAAAAAAAAAAAGCAACAAAAAAATTCTGCTGTTTAAACCTGTTCAGATATAGGGATAAATTTCTATCAACATGCATAAAGAGTTAAGACTTTAAATGTTACCAAATGCTTTAAAAGCACTATGAAACATTTACTGTGAATTCAAAGATTATCTAGAATCTCTTCTGATTTCATCCCCTACAGAGAAGTAGCCAAAGCGACTCTATTATCAGAATCACAACATATATCTTCCCAAGCATGAAAGAGTATTTTTTTAATTAAAAAAGTAATGATTGTTTAGATGGTTCCTCTTTTCAAGACAATCAATAATCAGTGACTTCCTTGATTATGGCACATAATCAACTGCAATTCAAATGTCTTGCTATTAAGCAAAAGGCAGACTTCTCAGGATAGGAAAGTGAAGTTATTAGCATTCTCAAAAGGTAATGGATATAGGCATGGGATGGGTTCTATATTTCTTTCTCCAGAATGACAGTAACAAAAGTAATACTTCAAGCAAAGAAAAAAAAGTTCTGGGAAGGGTCAAAGAATGAAATCAAAAGAAACAGTCAGGAACAGGAGGTGCACAGTATTTAGGTATCAAAGAACACAAGCCGAGCTATGCAGACAGAAAGTGGCAAAAGAACGAAGTGCCTCCTAGTCACATTGCTAGTAATGCTTGTAAGATACCCTCTCATGCAAATTTTCTTCATGTTTTGGGAATAGCCAACAGGAAAGTCAGGAAGGATAAAAAGACTTTTCTCTGCTAGAAAACTTCTTGTGACTCATCAGAAGAGACTGCAACTCTATGAGTGGATTACTAATGTAAAATTTGATCAGACTGATATTGGAGCAGGTTAAAAATTGAATATATATTTTTTAAAGACAAACCACAGAAATGTCAAACCAGAAAATTTAGAGCTGTTTCAGTCTTCAGAATATTGTGCATGATTAATCTGGAAGATACCATCTGGGAACTACCAAGAGCAACTAAAAATACAATAGTTAGGCTGGTTGAGAGTAGCTTATTCATTTGCAGAGCAATCTGAAGAACATTTTTTTTTTAGATATTCCTGAGTACAGTAATTTTACTCAAAGGAAAATGAAAAAAGTGCCCTGTTCTACACATGCCTCATATTGTACATAAATGTAAAAAACTGCTTCCTTATCATTAAAGATTAAGGTACAGCTTTTTCATCTTCTCATGCTCCACATGAGCACCCTGCTGGGCCTTGTATAAATAGCATACTGGGATAGACTGGGATATGTGGGGAGGCAAGAGAGCCCATAACAAAATCTAGACTAGAATCACAGAGTAGTTTAGGTTGGAAAGTACCTCTGCGGGACAACTGGTCCAAACCCCTAGCTCAAACCAGCACCAACCTCTAAGTTAAATCAAGTTATAGCTTATTAGATGCTCTGGAGCTTGCATTATACTAAGAAAAAAGACAACTAAGGACTTAAACCCTAAACTAATCTCAGTATGTTTTCAAATAGAGGCACTACTTTCACATTTGGTAAGTGAGCAAGCTACAAGGTTATCTCCATTAATTTACTATTATGCAAGGAAAAAAATGAAGTATTTATGTAATCTTAATATGTAAAATTTCCAAATTATTTTACAAAAAATTATTTTTACAAATACTATTTTAAGATTCATGACATCCACGAGGGAAGGTGATTATCTATTCACAGGTATGGAAACTAGACCATGAATATAATGTATGACAATTAACAAAGTAGATCAAGGACAGAAATAGAATCCAAGACTCTAATTCTTCCAAATACTTTATTGATTTGGTAGAGTGACTTCAGAATGTAGAATGTAGAACTTCTGCTTCATCTTCTATACTGCCTAGACAAAAGCCCTAGGAAAAAAATTGTCTCCACTGTAACAGTATGCTTAACTCCTAAAAGTTCTTGGGAAAAGACATGGCAAAGTATTTGGCTAGTGCTGATTATAGTTTCTTCAAAATACCTGGTCCTGAAAAACTTCATGTAACTTCACTACATTCGGGTGTCCTTCGCAGAGTTTCAGAGCTGTTATTTCTCTCTGGGTGTTGGCTTCCATTCTGGAAAAATTGAGCAGTCATTTTGTACCAGTTTTACTGGGCAAATTTCACTGAGCAAATTATTACTCCTCTTTTTTTAATTACTTGCAATCCAAATTTTCTTAATATTACAACCACTTAAACACAATTAAAAGCATATTCAAAGTAAGCTCAGCAAAACTCTCTACATAGCCCTGCAAGTTAGGACATTAAAAACCACACCCAAATAAACAATGTTTTTGATGCAACTGCAACTTGTTGCAGCAAAAGCTGAAATGATATTATAGAATAGCTTCCATTTAAAACAAACCTTTCCCTGAGCCTAGGGCAATTTGAGTTCACCTCTGTTCCTACAAGTATTTATTAGTTCAGCTTTATCTTGAAGACTCAAATTATTGGACCAATCCTTTTCCATTCTTATAGGAGGCAAATACTCCCAATGCTGTATGGGAACTATGAACTCCTAATAGAAAAGAGTAACATTATCTACATATGAGCTGTGTCATACAAATGAACCCCTAAACAGGCCATTGTAGCAATATGAAAGAGATAAGAAGAGACTAGCTGAGCAACAAAAATCATCCCACAAATTCTCTTTCAAAACTGAAAGCTATAGCCAAAAAGTTAACATGGTGAACATTATAAAACCCATGTGAATGAGGACAAAATAGAACATTTTGATTCCCAGTAAATATGGTGATTTATCTCGGGCAAATAATGCCTGATTTTTTTTTATGTTTTTTTTTTCCAAAATTTTTCCTTAAGAAAGACTAATCAAGTGGTGACTTAGAGAATGGCCTCCTGGATAACGCAGATAGAATCTCTCTCCACACATGTTCTTAATTTTTGGTTGCATTCCCCACATCCCTCCATCCCCCAAGAAATTAAAAAACCTGATTCAAATAATCTTTTCCCCCTAAACTACTATAAGGAGAAGGTGGGCCTAGGAAACAGATGAAAAAGGTTCAGCATCATGAGCATCAACCTTTCTGCATGGACTTTTCTGAGTATTACCCCTCTATAAATAGTTAATCATGTCAGTTTTTAAACAGAAAATATCATTAAAAACAACTTAGAATCTCTAAAACAATAACTCAAGCTACTTTACTGTTTCATTAGCCTTCAGACACACAGATACACCTCAGATTGTTGGACGGAGCCAGGTCCAGCACTACTAACAAAGCAGCACCATAGAGGAACTCTTGATCCAAGCTTTCACTTCAACTATCATGAAAAGTTTGCCTAGGTGTAGGATTCACTTTTTTGGCACCTTTGATGGGCAGGAGTAAAAGACTGACTGACTTGTAGGCAAAGAAGTTACCGGAAACCTATTATACTTTTCCTTTTAGAAAGAGTTACTAGAGTGGTCCTCAGAGCAATATTATTTACTGTTTAAAAGCTTCTTACTGAAGGCTGCTTTGTGTCCAGCCATTCAGAGTGTGGGTTTACTGCTCCCTCTAAATACTGCATAAACATGCTCTGAGTCTGCTCACAGCCTGCAATCCTAAAAAAACAAACAAACAAAAAAAACACAAAACCCAAAACCACAAAACAAAGCTGCTTAAAAATCTCTACTGCATATGGACCACTTCTTTACCTTCATTTAGGCTGGTCCACCAGGATGAAGAAGAAAGAGCAGAAGAAACTGTATCATCTGGCAACATAATTTTTAAAAGTTCTATGGATAAAGTCAATACTACTTTGCTCACTGCTACCCACAAATGAAACAATGCATTAGCTTAAGATGACATGGGGATACTGGTCTGCAGCTCTGCATGCACCACAGAAAAAAACTTTTGAATGTAGACACAAGGCAGGGATTTCCAGAATGAAATACCCAATGCCGTGTCGACTGAATACTATGTGTCTAAGATCTCATTATAATGAGTGAAATTCTACATAATTAATCTTACAGAGTGAACTACTTCACTGCAAAATACACACCTAGAGTAGGATTCAGTGGCCTAAGCATAGGAGAGCCTGGAAGACCTCGGCCATGAAGACATCTACACAAAGGCAGTAATCACAAGACAGATGGGAACTGGAGGACAGAGAGGACACCAACAGATGCTAAAATGGTACGATGGAGATGCCTATGTTTAAGTTACTGAATCCCACAGCTAGAGTCTAGTCATTTGAATCTCTGTAAGGCTTCACTAATCGTTTTGAGTAGGCCTTCATTAATCATAGCACACCTCAGAAAACAGACTCAGACAACAATAGTTAGGTGCCTTATTCTTTGACTTACCCTATCCAAAACACATATGATGAAAGCTTAAGGCTGGTGGACAGTTAATTCTAGAGTCTGGAAAAACAGAGGTACAGCCTCTATGCTGGAGAAGAGATCACCATGAACTATCATTCTGAAGGCAGAACATCTACGCTTTCTCTTCCCTACCAGTATTCTGCAACACACTGGGACATATTTACTAATGAACACTGCAAAATGAAGCTAAGAAATCCACCCACTCCTCAAATAATCCCTTATCTTTATTTTTCTCTGGACAGAAACTGCTTGAAGTATCTATTTTGGAAGAAGACCAGATGGTCCCCATGTACAAAGCAAGTCAGCTTCTTCCACTGTGGTGATGCCATCAGGACACCCAAGAAACAAGACACAATTTACAACTCCATAGTCTAATCCCATTTTACACACACACAACTTGATCTGGGGTAACCTACACTACAGATCCTTCTTTAAAGCAATGTCCCAGGCAATCAACTGGGCTGCTTAGGAGAGGAAGCCAGCATAAGCCTACTTTCTGTTCTCTTACGTCTAGAGACAGGAGGCCCTTATACCTTACTCTGGTTAGGAGCAAAATTAAGGGAAATTAGGGTAGAATACAACAAGGAACCAGAGAAGTACTCTTTAGGTTTCTCCTTGTGTCCTCCCCAACCAGAATGACATTTTGTTTCGAAAGACTTTCAGAATCTTTTAAAGGCCATAAGATTAATAAAAGTTTCTGTAAATTCTACAAAAAGGAGATAATATAAAAGTTATTTTTCTAATCCATGGGTGACAATAACAAAGAAAATATTTTTATTGTGTTATAGAATGTTTATACCTTTTGCTAATTATTTTTACTGCATACTCTTGAGTAGTTTTCTTGTGTAAGCACTTTCGACAAATGGAAAAACTTCCTTCTCCCAGTGGTTTTTCTTTCAGATCCAGTTCATAATGATGATAAAATGGAGAGTCCTGTTAGGAAACTGTCTGTATTTAGTTCTGCAGAATACTTTTAGTATACACAGTCAAAAACAAAGAGTAAAGTTTTGTGAGAATTTTTTATCTACATTTAAAATTGTAAAAAAGCTCTCTTTTTGATAAAATATAGTATTAACTTCTATTTCATAAACCACATAAAATTTATTCTAACAGACTAAATCTTATGTTAAACTTAATCACTAAATAAATCATTACTAGTACAATAGCTAATAATACAAAATATTCAGACAAACAGGCTCAAAGATGGCTGTACATACATTTATCCACAAAAATATGTGCTTCTTTGAAGATATCACAATAGCATGTGCTCTTATAACACTTCACACATCTATCCATGCTTATGGGTGAATACAGCATAGAAGGAATTCTGATATAATTAAAGCAGCTTCAAAGGTATCTAAAATGTTTGGCTGAGTAAGACCTATCGGAAGTCAAATTACTATTACTACTATACTTCAGTCTTCTGGAAAGCTAGATAATCATTTCATTTTTCAGATTAAATTTAAACTACATCTTAATAGTACCACATGCAAATTACATGCTGCAATCATCTGAGGAGCCATTACAGAGAACAGATAATTTAATAATGACTATTTTGTAATCTGTAGTCTAGCTTGTGATTGCTGCTTGGAAATTTATATGTAGTTCCAAGATAATCAAATCAACTCAGCTCTTGATATTATTATTACCTTCATCATAGCACTTCTGGCAATAGTTGTAGTTCCAGGCCGCTCATCCCCAACATAAAACTGAAGAGGATCTACTGTAGCTGCATTGCGTTTAAACAAAATAGACGGTGCAACGAAAGAGTACCCCTATGAAATTAAAACATCAGAAAATAACATGGCTTGAAATTGTTGCACACAAACTATGATACTGCATATGAGGCATTAGAAGTTTCAGATTTTTTTTTCAAATAAATTGGAATTTTCATAGCGATACAGAAACTGTAACTATATCTTTGATGGGTGGAAGTTATCATTCTGTTCAATGTGAACAAGTATCTTTCTGAGATTAGTTATATGATCCTCCACAGTAACAGATAAAAAAATAATAATATAAAAATTCTGGTAAATTAGCTAAAAAAATGGCTCAGCTTCAACTGTATTGCAATATGATAAAGAGTCCTACTGCAAAGTAGCTAGCTTCCTAGAACACCTTTAGTTTAAAGCACGAAATAGTTATGTTGTGATCAAACCATTTTAAATGGCAAAACAAAATAACCTTCATATTAATGGATGTGCTCAGTTTGGGTATACTAACAAAAACAGCTATGACTACCACTGCGGGATGAATAAGAACATATTATGACATGCATACATTGCACAGTACAGTCAGAATTAGTACAAATCTAGCAAATTCCAAAATATGATGTTATATTCTTGTACACTAAGAAGTATTAAGCAGCTCAAACCCAGACAATAAAAACAACAAAGTACAAGGATGTGGAGGAGAAAAAGCAATCCAGACTGCTGTTCACCTCTGCAGCTTTGGTATTGAGTTGGCTGCACATAAGCTGTTTCTGCCTATTTGACATCCAGACTGTGCAGTCCACGAAGGGATATAGTAGTCTAGTAACTGAAGCACTCCTACAGTACCCAGAAAACCATCTTTCAGCTCTGCAGTTAGCTCCTACTTCCCTAGGAATACCTCAGCTAGAGAATAATGCGGGCACGGGCAAACTACATTGGTGCTGTTGAAGCTGGTACACCAAGCTGATGAGAGTCAAGCTGACAAGATTCTTAAGGTATGAATACTCAATAAAGGGCAGCCTGACTTTAGTCCAACAGGTAGGACACTCAGCTGGGAATGAAGGACATGCAACTTTATGTTTGCAGTAGGACTGCTTCCACCTTTCTCATTTTGCAATTGCTGAATGAGGCCCTGAGAACTAGTACTGTAAATTACATAGTTACCAGGAATTAACTTAGAAGGCAGGAAAAAGAAACAAAACAAACTAGCTATACACATGCAATTGTTCAATAAATTATTGGGTTTATTGGTTTTTTGTTGTTTTGTTTTTTTTTTTTATTAATGTGAGTTCTTACAATACCTGAAATATTCTTTCTGAAGTCTGAGGGGTTGCTGCAGGAGAATATGTTGGATCCATTTCTGTAAACTCTTCTGCAAAATTACTGACATCTAGCTCGTCTCTGATTACTGGTTTAAATGGAGCTGGTACTTTTTTGGCAGCTAAATCATCCCAATTCATATTCTAAACCAAACAAAGTAAAATAAGTTTGAATCAAATGAAAATTTAAAAGAAACAAATATTGGAAAGAGGGACTTCTTCAGAAACAGTCATAAATAACATTTGCTATCATCCACGGGCAGATGAAAAGCATTCAAATTCTGCCCTACTAATTTGCTTAGATAAAGGCAAGAAGTATCATAATCACTGGATAGTAAACAGAATCCCAAAACAAACAAACAAACAAAAAAGAAATCAACACAAATTCAAACAGTGGAGATAAACGAAAACAGCTCTTACATTTCTTGGGAAACAACATATTTTTGTAAGCCGTGGTGCATGCATGCAGTATCTTCAGTTTTTCATTGCTGATTTCTATACTTAATTACTAATCTTAGCCTCCAGAGCCCTGAGAACAAAATGCCTTCAGATTCTTACTTAAAGGCATGGTTGGAAGTAGAACATAAGCATAGATACAGTAGTTATGAGAAAGTGGTGCTATTATTGTATAGGAGTGGAACTGAAATGAAGTCAAGATTAAAAAGTTTTGTATAAGGAAAAAAAGTATCTTCCAAAACAATCAGTAAATAAAGAAAGTTCAACTCTGCTTTGTCAAACTCTCTTCTAAGAGGAAGGAAAATGAAAAGGAATGGAAGAAATTTGGAAGTTAAAAATCCAAGATATTGCCCATGATGAATGTTATAATAATTACATTGAAAATACTGATTTGAAAGGTTTAGTTTATCAAATTTTATCAAATATTAATACACTGAAATCTGAACAGAATTAAAATTTACTAAACAAGACTAAAGAATTAATTAGGAAAAGGAAAATACATAAGGTGTTTATATCCAATAGTGAACTTCATCAATATGCAAATTTTACTAACAACATTAGTGGCAAACTTTCCTTTAAAAAAACAACGGTGTTTTCCTTTAGACCTTCTGGTTTAAGTAACATGTCCTGGCTGCTACAAATAGCCAGAATACATTAAAAAAATTTTCCAACCCTTCTTGTAGTACACATAAAATCCATATACATAAGAACATGGATACCCTTCCTAATTTCAGTCCAAGATTATTCACGCCATTAACACACCCCTAAACTATTATGCAATAAAGCCAATAGGATTTCCTTAGACTTGGGTTTCAAAGGCACTAACACAGACTAAGTGGTATCTGGGGAGCTTTGTTTTACCTGGAAAAAGGGATGTTGTTTGATCTCATCAGCATCCGTGGGACCACAACCTAGCCTCTTCTTTGGGTCTTTCATCAAAAGACGCTGAATTATATCCTTTGACAGTGCACTCATTTCTTGTGGATAAGGTGGCTCACTTTTTAATATTCTCCTGTAAAACAAGTATTTGCTAATTACTTAAAAATCTTAAAGAGTTACCATTCTAATGGTAGCATTTAACTTTCAACTTAACAAAAAAGTATTTGAGGAGATAAATTACATAACTTAACCCACAAAAGAAAAACAAACCTCATTTCATACATACTGAGGTTACTGTTACTATTTAAATAAAATCTCGTAACTACAACAGGTAGCTCTACTGAGAGATCAACTTGATTAAAAAAACCCAAAACCATTTCTAATGTTACAAATTATTAGAAAATAAAGATAAAAAACACACTTGGGTGTTTGAGGTTTACCTGCACCTTACATATTGTGTACAATGCTCATACAGAATGTACTTCATATGAAGATCTACAAAAAAGGCTAGGACTATCTAGCTTAGGCAAATGGGGAGTTTAGGATCTGGGCATAATGCTCCCTTCAAAATGATGATCAGTGAAGAGAACATGGATAGGGAGCTCAATGTCTATTTCAACACAAGAACTAGAAGCCATCAAAGCTAGCAGAATTTCAAAATCTTGGAAGCCTAGAGGAGAACGACATTTCAATACCTATCTCTTATATGAGTAGCCCCTGCAGTCTTACACAAAGAGGAAGGGTTTGGCTCTGGGTGTTGAAATTTGGGGGGGGGGGTGGGGAGAGAGAGAAAGGAAGTGCATACTTGATTTGTGGGTGAAATGAGTGGTGAAATACAACTTACAGCAACTTTTTTGTCATACAATCACAGAATGGATGAGGTTGGAAGCTTTCTGAGTATCTCCCAAGAAATGACACTCCACACCTCCCTGGGCAGCCTGTGTCACTATTCAGGCACCCTCACAATAAAGAGTTTCCTGATCTTCAGAGCAAGCCTTTTGCATTTCAGTTTGTGCCCATTACCTCTGGTCCTGTCACTGGGCACCACTGAAAAGAGGATGGCACCCTCTTTTTTTCACCCTCACTTCAGGCATTTATATACATCGATGAAATCCCCCTGAGCCTTCCCTTCTCCAGGCAGAATAGTCCCAGCTCTCTCAGCCTTTCCTCATATGCTTCAGTACCTTCAAATTCTTACTGACCCTTTGCTGAGCAATTTCCAGTATGTCCCTGCCTCTCTCGTACCAGAGAGCTCCGAACAGGACCCACTCTCTCAACTGCTGGTATTTTGCCTAATGCAGCCCAGGACACCACTACAATTTCTTTGCCAGAAGAGCACATTGTATAACTAGGTGTCTATACATGCATACTCTCAGTGTGGTTACTTCAGGAAGCATGACACGTAGGAGGAGGACTTAAGAGTGTCACCACTGAACACACACCAAAAAATTTTTAAGCTAAGAGAGACTGCAAGCCTGAAATTATATGAGGCTGTGGCGGCACTAAAATCTTAATTGTTACAGGTCTCTGATAAGTTGATCACTGCACGACATTCCTAAACTTCATTTAAAGTTACTGCATGACATCCTTAGATTCAGCTACCTCATGGGAAAATTTGTATCTTGAAATACACAACTTCTTGGATAATTCCTAAAATAGATGCAGATTGTTTCCTAAATAATCCTGTCCTGCCAGTGTGGAAGGACAAAACCAAGTTCAATATGCACATATCCCAGGGTTTGTTTCTACTGACACTGTATCCAATTTCGAGCGAACAAAATGACACAGCAAGCTAACCTCCTGGTTTAAGTAACACTGAAATGACTTAGGAAAATACAGCTCTTAAAAAAAAAAAAGAAAAAAAGAAGTAAGACAAAATTGAGTTTTAAGATGGATTACATCTTTAAATGATGTAAGGATCATCCACAGTAAGGGTCTAAATTACAGCCACTCTGCTAGCAGAAGTAACAGCAATCATAAAGCCTTGTCTTCAACTTCTGGACACAATTCACTTCACAGAGAAGGAGAAGAAAGCACAGTACTGCCAAATGATTTCTTAATTAGGGATGTCAATACCAAATTTAAACATCACTAAACAAGAGGATTCTTACACTGTAGGACTGGTGAAGAAGTTAACATTCAGCCTCTTCAGAAATCATCCAGTTTCAGAAAGGGGAAGCAGGTAAGGAAGTAAGAAAGCCTTCCTGTTGTAAGACAGAAGACAGGACATCTTGATAGCAAAATTACTTGATTTACAGGAGGGCCAACAAAATCTACAACATCTTCTTAGCGTGGAAATCAGTTCACTTAGAGGAGTCAGAGAAAATATATTAACCTTTCTGATGTGAGAATCAGAAGGGTATGTAACAAAGACCTTGGGAAGAGACAAGTTCTCTCTGGACTCTCAGAAGTGAAAAAAAAAAAAAAAAAAAGACAACCAACAAACCCAAAACCAAGTATTTTTTAAAAAGGATTTCTAAAGCAATGGGATTGAAACTCTGGGATGTCCTTAGAATCCAGAAGATAAATTCTTAAGCATTTTCCTATCTGAAGAATGTCAGATATTTCAGATTACCAAATCAGATGAAATTTTGAAAATGTCTCTGAGAAAAGATGTTGAATTGGGATGATTAGTAACATGGGTAACAGAACAAATGAGCACAGTAGTGCTGCTGGTCCGTGCTAGCAGTAAGATTTTTGCTCATGTCTCAGGCTTCTGATGCAAATACAAAGAGAGTGAAACAAACATAAGCGGTGGAGTGTCTTTTACAGAACTCTGCACTGCAGTGTACCAGAAAATTCTTACCTAAAAGAAGTACTTCTGCAATAACACTAGTAAGTCTGTGTTAGCCAGGATGCTGATAAATGATGGAAAGTGGCTCGGTGAGCATTTCTGCCAGCTCCCTCAGACACTCGTGGGGATTCCATCCATTCCCATGGACTTGTGTGTGTCTCAGTGGTGTAGCAGGTGATTGACCACTTCCCCTTGGACTACGGGGGCTTCATTCTGCTCCTTATCCCTGTTTTTCAGCTCAGGGGGCTGGGTACTGGAAGAGCAACTTGTCTAACTATTAAAGACTGAGGCAAACAAGGCATTAAGTACCTTGGTATTTTCCTCACCCTTTGTCACTGTTTCCTCCCTTACAGTAAGAGATGAAGATTCTCCTTTGCTTTCTTTTGTTGTTAATGTATTTATGGAAACGTTGTTATTGTCTTTTATGGCAGTAGCCAGATTAAGCTCTAGTGGGGTTTTGGATCTTCTTATTTTCTCCTTGCAAAACTTGACAACACCCTGTCCTCCAGAACTTCTTCCAAAGGCAATAAACTCTTTTTTTTTCCCCCAAGTTCCAGCCAAAGCTCTCTGTTCAGCCAGGCTGGTGGCCTTCCCCGATCGCTTATCTTTCGACCCATGGGAACTGCCTACTCCTGCACCTTTGACTTCCTTAAAGAATGTCCATCTCTCCTGGACTCCTTTGCCCTTCAGGACTACCTCCCAGGGGACTCCGTCAACCAGTCTTCTAAAGAGGCCAAAGTCTGCCCTCTGGAAGTCCAAGGTAGCAGTTCTGCTGATCCCAAACATTACTTCTCTGAGAATCAAAAACTGTAATTTCAATACCTCTATGGCAAAGTCAGCCTCCAACCATCACATCACTCACAAGTCCTTCTTTGTTCACAAACAACAGGTCCAGCGGTGCATCTTCCCTAGTTGGCTCCCTCACCAGCTGTATCAGGAAGTTACCTTCTACACCCTCCAAGAACCTCCTAGACTGTTTTCTCTCTGCTGTACTGTATTTCCAGCAGACAACTGGTAAGTATTATACTGAGGGATATCTACCATTTGTTGACCTTCTTAGAGCTCACTGCAGAGAAGGCAGAATTTTGTCATGCTGTACAAGCAGACTCCATGTAAGATGCATTTATACATGCCAGTGGCATTAGTTCAGAAATACTTTTGAGGTTCATAGATACTATAAAATATTCATGATGCTCTGGACTGCTTCACAGAACCACACTATAAAAGTAGTGAAGAATGAAGCCAATTTCCTTAGAAGTTCCAGGCACTACTTACAATTATAATGGAATTGAAGTATGTGAAGCTGTGTACACATTAATTAGGATGAAAAGAAAGCTGCCAGAAAAGACAGACCATATGGGATCAACATGTGGAAAAGCAGAAACTAGTGAAAACTAATCATGCAGCTTGATCAAGTAAAGAGAGTCTGGCTTCAGTACCACACCACTGCTGTAACAGTAACCCATGAAGTGTTGAGAGAGGAAATAAGCTGCATGTGTCAAAGTCCTTCCTGGTATGGCTGGGCTTCTCAAAAGAAGCTACAGCCTTTAACGTCAACCTTCCCTTCCTTTTCTGAATCACCTCCACCCCCTAGTATAATTCATGCTTACAAGGATCAATAATAGGCAGAGAATAAAGAAAGGAATCCCAGTATACACCTACTATGCATCTTCCCAACAGTTTTGCCAATTAAAGGATTCTTGCAGAATCATGGGCAAAATATCTTCATAGCATCTAATGGATGGTCACATTTCAGCCATCCTCCATGAAGTTTAAGTGAAGTCTAAGCAACTATGTCAAATAAAGAGCACAGGCTGTTAGCATTAGTGTGTTCTACAGATTATTTTATAAATGCATATATGTATAAAAATGGAGAAAGATAGATCTATCTATTCATAACCCTAAAGGTAGAAATATTTTTTAAGCTGCTGCACGACAGCAATATAATACCCCCAAAACTTCATGCTTATTTTAAATCCCTGTAGGTATGTCAAGTTCCTAAAAAGTCAACCCCCTAAAGTGGACTTGTCTTTCAAGTCAGCACTACAGATAACCCATGACCAAACTGAAAATACTGAGTTTGTAATCAAATCCAGCCCTTGGCTATGCCTTTCCAAGATGGGGCCCATCCACAGCTCTGCAGCAACGGAAGTCCAGAATTCTCAAAATGAATTGGAAACAAGTGAGAAGAGAGAGGGCACACTAGAAAAGGAGAGTTACTTGAATAGTTCTGTGATTTTTTTTTTAAATGAAGTTTAATACTCCATAACACCAAATATGCGAACAAAAAGTTTTCAGAGACAGACACAGAGACATAAGCAAGTGCAAACTTTAATTTCCCTAAGTTTCACTTGCCATGAAAGAGGAGTCCAACAGTTGTCAAAAAAGTTACGATAAAAGAACTGAATACAATCCCTTATCAGAAAGAGTGAAAAAGATACAAACCACAAAGTAACTGTTTCTGACAGAAGAACTGAACTGTTAGGGAGATACTTCATAATAAAACTGTGGTCACAGTTAACAGCAGATAGCCATTGTGCTATGCAAAGGCATACAGTTATATAAAAATATCTAAAGATTACTTCCCACCAAGGTAAAATAAAGAAGGACCTGGATTCACTTAGAAGATGACATTTTTCTTTAATTTCAGAAAAATCAAACGCCATGGAAACTATGCTTTCAGGACTTGTGACTGGGTAAAAGAAAATTGAATTCTTGAAGTCTGCTGCAATCAACAAATTAAAGTGTATTTAAGTTAGGGAAGATAATTTGCTTAGAGTAACTCTGCTATCAAGAAAGACATTTATACGAACTCATATCTCTCTGTCACAGATAGTGATTTCATTACTACTGTTAACTGTAAATATCTGATGAAGTTATCTGCAACTCGGATTTTCATCAGTTTAGAGAGGAAATGAAACTAGAAAGATCAAAGATAGCCACAGAGAGAATCTGGAACCCATTTAATTATAGGTATAAAATTACCTAGCGTCTGCATCCCAATTCAACAGAAAAGGTTGTAAACATCATTGAAACAATTCATAATTAGAAAAAAAATGACATTAAGTGTAAATTGCAAATGTACCTTCAATGACAAAATTATCAAAGAAAAGGAAATAAAGATCACAGCTTCTAGGCCAGACAGGCTCAGAGTAAAGATAGGTACTGAAAATTCAGCTGTTACTTCCTGAAAAAGCTCAGTGTACTCATGCTAGCAGTAACTAAAAGGGGGGGGGGGGGGGGGGCATTTCTGAAAAGCCATGAATCTGGTAATTTCTGAATTTAACAAGGTAGCATGTCAGGAAGGGCCAGTCATTTCTTTAAGGCATGCTTTCAAGCAAGCAGGTCAACAGCTTCCCAGTCCACAGCGAACTCTACATAGCCCTTTTCAATCCTCAGAAAAGGGGTTTCTTTCCATCTTCTCTGAGATGTGCTTCTGCTCCCTTCTCACCCTCTGCTTTTGCTGCAGGTGCACTACAGCCTCCTGGTATCTCACATATTATGCCTGCTCTACTCTACCCTCAGGGAAATCCCCACCACGCTCCCATTGCTCCCCAAGGCACACAGCAAGCACCATTCCCCAAAAGGTTCCACATGACTCTGCAGCAGCCAGGACACAGAAAAAAAAGCAACATTATCATATGCTAAGCCACTTTCTTAAAAAGAACATAACATTCATTACATAATAAACTGCAAACACACAAAATGGATATCATCCAGGACAGAAACTGCTATCAACGGAAAGGATTTGGAAATCATGGGTCTTCTAAGCACTGAAGTAACAGAAGATAGATGAAATAATGTCTGAATAGAATCACAGAATGGTTAGGATTGGAAGGAACTTTAAAGATCATCTAGTTCCAACCCCCCTGACAAGGGCAGGGGCACCTTCCAATGCAGTCATAGTTGGGACTAATGAGATTTCAGCTATATAGTAGGGGCTTCTTAGAAACAACAGAAAATAAGGAATTAGATCTATCAGTCCACCACTGGCATGAACAAGACAACACCAACACCACCACCCACCCCCACCCCCCAAAAAAAATCTTTTTGTTCAAAGGTGAATTATTACTTCCTTTAAACAAGACCCTCTTGAAACATCAACAGGAATAAACCTTCTATATGTAAGAAAGAACACCGCAAGCTGAGTTAAGAAAAGGCTTTTTCCGAAACAAGATGACTGGGGAACATCTTTAAATAAAGGAAATTGTAAGAATTTGCCTTCTGAATTTATCAAAATAAAAGCTGAAAGATTACAGGATTGCTGTCTAGAAATGTGTAGCATAAACAATGACCAGAACAAAAGCATACACATTAGCAACAGAGTAAATTTGCCACAACTATATTTAGATCAGAAATTAGGTTATTAGCCATCAGAGGATGGATGCTGACAACCATGCAGTTTCTCAGCTTTGAATTTAATCTTAAATTACCAGAAAGATTAAGATACTAAAAATCATATAAGGACCTACCAAAAGACAGTCAAATTCTGTGGAATACATCTCTGAAGTTACCCAGTTTTGGGGAAGAGTAAGATCTGCAAAACTAAGGTCAAGATTCTCTCTAAAAAAAATGGAACCCCTTCACAGTTCCATTCAGTAAATCTCAGGAGTCAAGTAAGCAATCAGTAAAATTTCTAACCCTAAATATGTCAGAAATAATAATAATAATAATAATAAATTATAATGCCAGCACAATAACCAAAAAGGTGAAGCTCTGAATTTTGTTTTATTAACTGATTCCGCTTCCACACACCTCCCTCCATTTTTTCCAGTGGCTCTCTTAAGTTTCCTGTTCTCATAGAGACCTAGATACCAATAAACAGATCTCAACCTCCCAAGAAGTTGCAAGATTCAGAACAGAAGTAAAATATAATACCTAAATAATTGATGTATGTTTTGTTGCCATTATAACCTTAAGTATCCAGTGACTTCAGGTGAGGATCATAACCACAGTAATATATTCCAGTAGGAGCAGGACTATTCTTAGTTTGGGGCCTGGACTTAAAAGCTGATCTTGACAGCAGTAACTTATTTGTGCAATTTAAGCCCTCAACTCTCCATTCCAAGAGAAATCCAGTAATAAGAAATGCTAATTTTTGGGGGGAGATTTCAGTAACATGTTTTGGGAAAGCTTATTGCTTTGCCTTTTTAAAATGCTCCAGTGCTTTCCCATGGGCATTGAAAACAAACCTTTAAAGTGTAAGGATTACTGAACATACCAAAGCTGATAATCAGGAAAAGTTTACATGTAAGAATGGTATAGGATATCTCATTTCCATATGTAACATATTCGTTTATTCTCAGATAGGTGAATATTGCTAGAAAAGATCACATTGTTTCACATTATACACTAATAAAATAAACAGTAAATGTGACAAAAAGGTGGTAGTAGTACATCCTGAGAGTTGAAATCTGTAGCCTGATGGAGAGATCTCACAAGAGCTAACAAAAATCTCACTAGCTAAATACACATTTCATTACATATCAAGATCTTGAATGTGATAATTCTATTTAGATATATTTCATTTTACTTCCTTTTCAACAGTGAGCATGCAGCAGTGCTGAATATCTACACAACTGTCATTTCATTGCAGTTTAAATGAAACAGTCTTATGTAAAGGTCAGTTGCAATATTTCAAAAACCTGCTGAGGTTAATAAAACCTATATCCTTCTAGAAGTCATTCTGTTAAAGAGAAGAGGAGCACCTAAAATGTTAGGCTGGCAAAACTTTCTTCCTAAATTTTAGATTAAAACTCCCACAACATATATATTCTGGCATAAGCATCACTGTGAGCAAGCATGTATATTTTACTGTTTTGGATCTTACCTAGAAATCTCTGCTTGAGAATTCTTCTCTCCATCAACTGTAAATGGTGATGCTCCAGTTAATAATTCATACATAAGAACACCAACACTCCACCAATCAACAGCCTACAGAACAACAATAATTGTATATATTACGATACATTGCAGTAAAGTTGTTAACAAAAGAAGGAATTAAACAATGCACCTCGAAAGCAACTAGCAGTGGAAGAGCCCACCTATCAATACAAAGGATACACTGAAGCATAAACAACTACAGTCCTGACTGGAGGTATTTTCTAAATTAATTTTGCTTTGCAATCTCTCCACTTCAACTAATTTCTCAAGCTGAACTCTTACCACTCACTACTAAAGTTACACACACACATGCACCCTGCCACCAGAATTCATTTTTATTTGTGAAGTGATAAGAACTCTAAAGAGTACACAAATTAATACAACAACTTAAGCCTTACTAAGAAGTGGTGGAACCTGAGCTTTTAGGAGCTTGAGAATAAAACTAAGGAACTTTCAAAACATACAGTTTAAGAGCACAGATCACGGTTTATCAGGGCACCCAAAAATGTGATGGAATTTTATCTTATATTCTCTGGTAACAAATGTGATCTTTGGTTTCCTGTGTGTTGGTAACATTATTTGTGCCTCTGATACATCGTAACTTACAAAATATTTTTCTCCTAAAAGAAAAGATATTGCTATGAATAATAAAGGAAGTAGTTTAGTAATTTCAATAAAATTAATTTAACTAAAGGTGTTTCAACTTCTCCATTTTACTTACAAGAAATTTACAAATCAATGCAACTGAAGTTTTGTTTTACTTGTGTTGACAACAGTAACTCATACAGGAAGATAGTTCCTGAAATTATGACATTTCAGGTTTTTGGCTTCAAGATACACAAAATTGGATCTTTATATATTCAGCCAAGTGTTCAGAAGAACTGACTAAAGAAGTCTCCGTACAGTCAGTAATTATTTTTGCAAATACACAACAATCAGAGAAAACAAAGAAAAAAAATTCTTGGCATGTGTTTTTCAAATAGAAAAGGAGTATCTGCAGATTCAGAAATGAAACTTTAAAAATATAAAACCTGAAATAATAGTCATTCTTTTAGACAAACAGTAAAGCTATCTAGAAGAGATCACAAATCAAAAACATTGATAAGAGCACAGCATACTAAAGCAATCTCATTTTACTTTTTTTTTTTAAGATAAGATCTTTGAGTTGCTAGGTACACAGTAAGTACAAAATCCACTACAAACCTTCTAACACTGCATTACAGCACATCACTAATGATGGGGCAAAGAGCGTGTGGGGTAAACAGCTACCATTACATACATAACTGCAAATCACCCTTGCTTATCAGCTAACATTTGGTATCAAACTGCAAAGCTATTGCTTATAGAATAATGTATGGCTTTGCACTACACCTAATGGAAGATGAACCAATCAAAGTAACAGAACAGAGATTCCTTTTTAAATCAGCCATAGTAGTGAATTGCTAAGCACTTCAGAGGCAGAATCAGAATTCAAAGTGATGCATTGGAGAGATGCTCTGAAACTTGCAAGATTAATGCAAAAAACAGAAGGTAGGAAAGCTTCAATTCATAAGTTCGTAAAACTCAATTTTTAATAATGACTAGGCAAGCAGTACAGTAGAAAAAGATGCAGCTGTTATAGTGGAATACAAAATAGGTGTGAGACAATGACAAAGTGAAAAGACAAAGCACATTCTATTTTATGCTTAAAAGAATAATCAGGGAAGTAATCATTCTGCTGTACTTCAAACTGACAACTCTCAGTTGAAACACTGTGCCTACTACAGTGCTCCCTACCTGAAGAGATATACAGGAAACTAAGACCAAAAGGGACGCAGAATGTATAAAGGAAAAGAAAGAACCTTCCCACACAAAAGTCTGAGTCCAGTTAGTCTAGAGGTTATGGCGCCATAACACTTTCCAGTGCTTAAAAAAGCTGTTGTAAGAGGAACTGTGATCAACCATATTCCATGACCCCCACAGAAATACAAGAAAAAGATATTATATATTCCCTAAAACTTCTCAGTATAGTGAGCAATCAAAGAATTTACCTAGGAATATAGTAGAATTGGAGAGTAGGGTTTTTTTTTGTTTCAAATATCACCTGTGAATTAGGGTTGCCCTGATCTTTCCCATCAATTACTGACACTTTAATTCGTAATAAAACTTGAGCCTCAAGCTAAACAAAATTATTTTTTTTAAATCTGAGAACATTTATAACATTTATAACCCAATCCATGCTTCAAAAAACGTAAGATATCTCTGATATACAGAGATTTTAAATTTTTTTTAAATATATCTGAATTAACTACAAACCAGTAATTTTTCCACTCTGAACTTAAAAGTTTTATAATTAGAAAGAAGTGTCTGATAAGTATTTTTGTCCCATTGCACATTTGGAAAAATTTTTTAATAGAACACAAATAAGAATTGATACCTTCATAAATATGCCTTTTAATTAAGATTAAAAACTGAAAACATAATGCATTGATGTTTTTAAATGTAGGTAGTAATCTATGTTAGGACAACCTGAAATAAGGTATATCTAAATAAGACACTATCACATTTTACAAAAACCTCTCAAACTGAACAATAGTGTTGCCTAAAGAGTTAATTTAGATAGAACTGTTGACTTGTTGCTGTTGGTTGACAAAAAGCTCAACATGAGCCAGCAGTATGCGCTCGCAGCCCAGAAAGCCAACCGTATACTGGACTGCATCAAAAGGAGCGTGACCAGCAGGTCAAGAGTGGTGATTCACCCTCAGTACTGTGATCAGCTCTGGGGCCCCCAGCAAAAGCGGGCCACAAAAATGATCGGAGGGCTGGAGCACCTCTCCTACAGAGACAGTCTGAGAGGGTTGGGCTTGTTCAGCCTGGAGAAGGCTCTGCGGAGACCTTAGAGCAGCCTTCCAGTGCCTAAAGGGGGCCTACAAAAAATCTGGAGAGAGACTTCTGACAAGGGCATATAATGATAGGACAAAGGGGAATGGCTTTAAACTGACAGAAGGTGGATTTAGATTAGACATTAGAAAGATACTTTGTACTGTGAGGGTGGTGAGGTGCTGGCACAGGTTGCCCAGAGAAGTTGTGGCTGCCCCATCCCCGGCAGTGTTCATGGCCAGGTTTGATGGGGCTTTGAGCAACCTGGTCTAGCAGGAGGTGTCCCTCCCTATAGCAGAGTTTGGAACTGGTTGATCTTTAAGGTCCCTTCCAACCCAAATCATTCTATGATTCTATGAACTTAGAACATACCTTGTCATGTCCTGTGTCTCCCCCTCTTACAATATCTGGAGCCATGTATTCTATTGTTCCACAGAAGGAATATGCTCTCTCATTCTAGGAAAAAAAAAAAAAAAAGAACAGGAAAAAAATAAAATTCACATAAAAAAAATTTGTATTACACAAATCATATGGGACAGATATGGCTAACAGTTCCAAGATGCCGGTAGCAATTCTTCTCCAAATAGCTCAAAACTGCTAGCTAAATCATATTCCATCATATGTAGAGATGTTATCACATAATGCTACAGAATGCATACAGTCTTCTATGAAAAGATAAAATGTCATAGGTTTGTGTGGCAGTCTAAGGTAAGCACACAGAAATTAATGTACTGGAATTTTACAAACTTCCCCCTAAGTCTTAATTATCTGCACATTTCAGAACTACACAAGATTCCCCAAGGTAATATAGACACACATTCTGAAGGGCAGTATCAATAGTCAACAAATGAAACCTTCTAATTAAAACGAACATTTCATTGTAAGATATGCAATTTGACTAAACTGCATACAAGATCCTTTGGGTTCACCATATTTAGGAATCTATTATGACCTCTAGAAAAGTAATTTTTGTTTGTAACAGATACATATATAAAACCACAACATTCTCTCAAGAAGAGACTTGGAGAGAGGCAAGAGAAAGAAACAGAAAGACAGAGTTGTAGATTCCATTTTATTCTACACACTGAAGTTATTGCCTTGATTATGTTCAAAACTAAGCTGCTTTCACAGGCATGTATAATTGTTCCCTGGTAGTGATTTACCTTTGAGGTCAACATGAGGTCATGCTGTACCTTGCTAATGACGAAAGCACATGTGTTTGGGCCATGCAACATTGTTCCTCCCTTATCCTTCAAGCTTCTAGCATTTTGGGGAGAGATCCTGACAGGTCCTTTAAAGAAGAGTGTTCAAAAAAGCAAATATTTCAAAAGTCAGGTTTTACATTTGTAGATTCAGATTTGGAGTTTAAAACAGGTGCTATATAAGAGAATGTACTATGCTAATGAGAAGCTTCTATCACTAGAAATAGTGCTCAGTGCTACCCTGAGGCATAAAAATTAAGCAGTCCAACAGCATTTTATTAAAATACATATACTGTGACTGGTTTGGAGGGACAAAATTCTGAGTTCAAAATAGTTACAGGCCTCATTTTGATCAAATCTTATCTTGAAATATTTTCTGAGACAAAACCATAAAATAATAAACTTTTCACAATTCCAAAAAATTTCTTTTGACACAACTATTATTTCTCTTTGATTATCTTTTCCTGTACCTGTTATCTAAAAGAAAAACTGTGATAAAAAGCAAAAACAAAAAAGAATTTCACAAATTCCTAGTCCCTGACCCTGGCATTAGCTAATCTAAAGCTATTCATATATCCCTCTATTCATTTTTCCTTCAGCTGTGAGGAGGGAGTGGGGAGAAGTAAAAGAAGGAAAAGAAAGGAGAGCGAAAAATATAAAACACTGTTCTTCACTTGCTGCCTCTCCAAAGAGTAAAGATTATGCAACCAAGCTGAAATTTACGAAAATAATTTATAATCCTAATATATCAAAAGAAAGGAATGGAAAGTATTAGCATTTAAGTTAGCTGCAGGTTCAGCAAATCATCCACAAAATTATGTCTTTTTTTGTCCTCATGTTGTATAATAAAGCTAGGCTATAAGAACTACACTGACAAGAAACAGACTGGGGAATCATCTGTGAACATATACAGTGGTACAGCAGTGGTACAGCAGAACTCTTACCATCTCAGGTATCTCCTGCTGCTGAAAAGGCCCACTAAAACCATTTCAAAACAAGCAGAATTATTAGTAGTAACTGTTTTGAGAAACTCTATGTAATTGGTGGTTCTGATTTTCAATTACATTTACTTTTAACCTTTTTTTACCTTTAACACTCATTATAGCTTTTGATATGACAGATGGAATTTATGAAACAATATTTGCACATTTATTTTATTTCTTTCTTAAATTCAAGTCTTAAGTATTTTCTGTTCTTTGTAAAATTCAGTGTTTAAAACCCAAAAAAATAATTTTTGAGGTTTAAAAAACTTGGTGTATTATTAAAACTATTTCTTATAATTAAATTTCAACGTGAAAAACTCATACTGCAAGTCACAAACAGGCAGTTATATGTTTGTGATAAGGTTTATAAGAAGTCCAACTTCTAATGCACACAGGTAAGTACCTGTATCCTTTAGCTATTGCTTCATTTTGTAGAACGTAGAAGTGGCCTACTGCTAAAATTCAAGGCTGAACCAAGCCAAGAAGCAGCAGATGATTATCACAAATTTAGCAATTTCTTAGCAGTAAATTTAGTATATTGGAACTCAGCATTAGGTAGGGAAAAAAAAAAAAAAAGGACCCTCTGAGCATTTTCTTAATCAACACTGATTTCCCATTACATGTTCCAGCATCATATTCCAAAAGCCTTGTTAGAACCCTCCTACGACTGTTACAGGGTGATCATTAAGAAAACACTCTGATAACAGCTATATATAGTTTCCTATTTAAGCACACCAAAAAACCTCAGAGGACTACAGCATTCCTCAGAACATCAATAAAGCCAGCTGTCTGAAAGCAAACCAGTCCGACTCGACTAAAAACTGGCACAGATTGAGCTTCATAAAATGCTGTACAAAGTCCTGACTTCAGGTAGTTTAAGCCACAAGAACTGTATATTTATTTGACACCTCTGTTTATGTTGTGTTTTATTAAATTACAATCCACACCAACTGTATCTGTTACTTACAGAATACAGTTTTTCTAGTATTTACCCTAGGAGAACTTATGTGAATTTGTCATTGTTAAATATGCCTCTTAGAGGGAGTCACTAATAGTCTTTACTATTATGCATAACATGAGGATTTAAAACCATTTTCAAAGAATGTTACCTCCAATAAGTTTCCTTTTTGTTCTAAGACATGGACATACTGAATAAAGTCCAGCAAAGGGTCACTAAGAAGATGACGGTACTGAAGCATATGAGGAAAGGCTGAAAGAGTTGGGACTGTTGCACTTGGAGAAGAGAAGGCTCAGGGGGATTTCATCAGTGTATATAAATGCCTGAAGGGAAGGTGCAAAAAAAGAAGGTGCCAGACACTTTTCAGTGGCACCCAGTGACAGGACCAGAGGTAATGGGCACAAACTGAAATGCAGAAGGTTTGCTCTGAAGATCAGAAAACACAATTTTACTGTGAGGGTACCTGAGCACTGGCACAGGCTGCCCAGGGAGGTGGTGGAGTGTCTCTACTTGGGAGATACTCAGAAAGATTCTGGCCATGGTCATGGCAACTGGCTCTAGGTGACTATGCTTCAGCAGCAGGGTTGGACCAGATGACCCCCAGAGGTCCCTTCCAACCGCATCCATATTGTGATTGTATGACAAAAAGTTGCTGTAAGTTGTATTTCACCACTCATTTCACCCATAAATTAAGTATGCAGGCCCCCCACATCCTCAAAAAAAATAAAAATCCGAAAACCACAAGCAAACTATTCAGTATTTTCCCACTAATTTACATTTCATTCAACTGGAATGTATCCATGAATACCAGAACCTACATTACTAATACTGTTAAGATACGAGATGCAAGACAAGAAAGGAAGTTGATAAACAACTGAACTTGGATTACCTACAGGTGAATTCTCATTGAATACACACATCTTGCAAAATACTCGAGCTTAAGAATTCTTTGCATAACACAGAATACTCATTTTCTTTCCTCACTCCACATGCACTGTGGTTCCCTCTTCCAAGTTGCAGAACAACAGCAATCAGACACTAATGTAAGAAAACAGATGTGTGACTAACCCATCTCCAATAACTAAATATGCCAATATTGACCTTGTTATTGAAAGATTGTCATTATGTTTGTTCCCAGCCAGCAGTGCTTCAATGTTTTCAGATTATCTAGCCATAGTCTTCAGTCTTCTAGCACACAACAGCTGGTTTTGATTTTTATCTTTTTTTTGTTTACCCAGTTCAGCATCATTCTTGAATGCTCATGCAATAACATAGGTTTTAGTAAAGGTAAACAAAGTGGCTACTTCAAACCAGTTGGCTGCTGAAGAGTGTAACAATTTTTCATGAAGCCACTGATACAGAGAGAGTTTTGTTAAAGAATTTTTGATCAGCAAACAGAGACAGCTTCACCTGGACAGCCAGGCAGTTGACTTTGATAAACCATCCCTCTCTTAAACTGGAAAACCAAGTTATATTCCCTTAACACTTATTCTTTGAGATGAACAACACACTGACACTGTGGATGTGCCTATACATATTACCAGACTGTTTCTAATAAATACTACTACATATGGGACAGACCTCGAAGTTTTTCTGCTCCACTGATGGCAACATAAAAAAAGTCAGTGCGCTGCCCTATTTCCAAGTTCCTTGCAGTCATTCTGACTGATCTGAGGATCCCAGTGAAATTTAACTGCTTCAACTTATTCAGGCACTTTCAATACCATGTCTGTATGACCCCTGAGGCCTTTACTTCAGATCATCTATTTTAGCATTCCACTTTCATTTTTCTTCATCAAAAAATCAAGGGCACTAAGCAGCTTTAGGACACAGAATTAGAATTCTGTAGCTGTCCAAGACGGAGCGGTGTAACATGGATTAACATTTGCCCTGAAAACAGTCACTTCAACAAAGAAAAAAAATCTTAGCAAAAACAACAGTGCTCTGAGACCATGTACACTGACCTTGGCAGGTTGACCACAACTACACCATTTCCAAAGACCAAAAAAACCCAGTTCCAGAATTCAATTAGAAGTGCTGACAGAAGGATGATGGTCTTGAACACTCACACTCTTGATGACCTTGTGGTATTGTCATTTGGCCTTATTTTATAACCAGGGAATGCTAGGCAGGCATTTGAAACTACATGAAGCCATAGAAAGCACATGTGCAAATTTTTCTCCTCAAAGACATAGAGAACTTAAGCCTTTAAAGTTCTCTAATGAGGGCTCTGCATCAAGTACAAAAACGCATGTCACCAGTGGCAGAAAAAGCAAGACATACATAATTTTAGGGAAACAGCACTTCTCAGCT